TGGGGACAAGTAGCACAGAGCTGGTGGTGGCTTTTGACTGAAAGCTAGACACCTCCTGGTGTGCACAGGCAAGGCACCTTTGAAAGAGAAACCCAGCCACTGGAATCACTAAGCAGGTACAGAATGGCAGAAAGCATCTTTACTTCCCAAAGGAGCCAGCCTCGGGTTTTCTGGAAAACACTCCATTCAAATTACTTGCTGCTAAACTCCTAGTTCCCAAGGGGGTGGTTTTTTTAACCCACTTTGTTTTCAAGGTGTTCTCCAAACTAAGGAGCACCACTTCTGCAGATCCTGCTGTCCAATTTTGTATCAGCTTTTGGAGGGCTGCCAAGTCATTTTGCCTGAAATGGCTTGCAAGGGCTGGCTCTGAGGAGTCCGGTCAGCATTCTGTGTGGGGATTCTGTTTGTCCTGTCAAAGATAAGGGGTAATGAGGCAGGGGAGAAGCATAAGTCTTCTAGCAATATCACTGTTGGAAGCAGAGCCAGAAGCAAGCTGCTTGTAGTTTTTTCGACTCACTTGCAGAATGACCGCACCACCAGGGAACGGTGAAGGCCTCTGAGTACCTTATGTTGACCCCAGCAAGAGGAAACATGGCCAAAGAATTGCTTTTTTTGAAATACTCTTTTCCTATTTTTAATTAAGACTTGCAGAACTCCAGAGATGACAACTACTGCTTGCCCCTTAGCCCCAAAACACGTTACCTTGATAATACAAGTAGATTAGCTCAGTTTGCCAGTTTATTCTAGTTGATTCTTGTCAAATTCACATTGGCTGTCACTCATCCCTGCATTTGCTCCTTAAAGTTTGCAGTACTTTCATCATTTAACTCGTAGCTAAAGACGGAGTCTTAGCATCTCCCTCCCGCTGACCTACAAACGAGACAGCCTATGACTACTATACAAGCAGAAAACCTCCCTTTGGGACTACAGCTGCCTGTCCTTTGATGCGCAGTAAATGATTTGGCTCCTCATTAGTTGCAAGAGATTACATGTGACCAAGGGAAAGGACATAGACATGAGAAAACTGGTCAGATCTGCTTGATGGGAACAGGCTGCCCAGGGAGGTTGTGGAGTCTCCTTCTCTGGAGATATTCAAGACCCGCCCGGGCAAGGTCCTGTGCAGCCTGCTGTAGGTGACCCTGCTTCGGCAGGGGGGTTGGACTAGATGACCCACAGAGGTCCCTTCCAACCCCGAACATGCTGCAATTCTGTGATGCGTGGCCTCCTCCATCACGGACCTGGTCCTGCATCCTCTGATGAACACTACACGCCTGTAGCCTAGGAAAAAGCATGTTTTGGAACAGCAGAAACTTCCCAGCATAGTTTGTTACTTGTCAGCTCCGAGGATTAAAAGGTTTTGGACAACACCTAGGAGAAAGTATTTCAGGCTCCCATATAATGAAGCCTGACCTGCAAAAGTGAAGTATGAAGGCTTCCAGGTGAAAGGGCATGAAGAGGCGGGAGGTGCAGTGCCTGTCTTCTGATGTTGCTTTAGGGAGACCATGCTGTGAGATCCCACTGGGCTGGGTGTCCCACCTTCAGGGGTCACCTCTACTCACCTGCTGAAGCTTCACAGCCTTTCCAAGCAGCCTGTGCAGATTCAGGCAGCTGTCATCAAACCACAGGGCAGCACTCAGGGGCACATTTTAATTCAGCCTGGAGGCTTACACACAGGAGGGAAACATCCCAGGACCTCAGATCCTTACCAAAGACTGACACGTGACTCTGGGAGCAGGAAAGTCCCCTTCCCTCTCCTGTGGCACGGCACAGGTAACAGAGCATTATGTGAAAGACAGAAGTTCTGGAAACCAAGACTGAACAAGAAACCACCACAAGACACTGAAGCAAAAGTTATCTATTTTATTACAAAACCAAAATCAAACAGATGCCTTTCAGTCTAACAAACAATGCCATAGGCAGAAATGAGCTGGGGCAGGGTAAATTCAATATAAACTCAGGCCCTGGAAGGCGGTGCCTTCACACGGATTAATCCCACCATAATGCAGTTCTCTCCAACACACTACGTCCTTGGAGGATCAGCAAAAAAGGAAAGATTTTTGCTTCTGGCAGGAAGAGCAGATGACTTGCACTGCAGGGCCCTGGTTCTCTTCTCTGTCCCAGCTGTTTTCAGAAGCCATTCAAAGCAGAGCTGGAGGGGCCCGGGAGGACATGAAGGATGAGGAGAGACATGCCCAGGGCCTGTTTCCAGGAGCAACGCTGACAACTCCCCATGCCCCAGCTTCAGCAGGCTGCTACTGATGCCAAAAAAGCAGGATGCTACTGATGCAACGCAGAGCATAATGTGCTTACCATTGCCAGATAAGGCCATGTTTGGCCTGGCAGCCAAGTGGACCAGCCAGTTATCTGGCCACAAAAGCAGTAAGGGAAGAGGGGAGCTGAGGCACTGCTCTCTTCTGATGAGTACAGACTGTTCAGACAACTGATAGGATGGGGTACACAAATTGGGACTGGTGCTGTCCACATGATCTTCCAACACACAAACCCAGAACAACTAACCAAAGCCCCATCCAGATGCTACAGAATCTTGCTGGTTGGGTCTTGCACGCCAATATAGAAGTGTTGCCAGAAGCTGCTCAGAGGCCTGTGCAAACCCAGCAAGTCAGGATGCAGGGACGTGGACTTGCCTTGTGAAAGTAAAGAGGAAGGCAATGTAATGCTTGGACCCTAATCCATCCATAAAGTTAGCTCTAGCACAGCAACTTGAATACCCATCAATACCCAAAGCTAACATCAACAGCCACCCCTTGTTTGGCTTCCTTGAAGAACGGATCCAATTTTAATTGCAAACTACATGTGAATGCAGGCCTTTTGCAGAGGAAGGACACAAGGATGAGAAAAAGGAGGTCTGCAGAAGAATTTATGTGACAGGCCGGAATGTTGGCTGGCTGGTTTACTGACATTTCCAGAAGAAAAGATGCAGTGACTTTTAGCATCTCTGCACTCTCCCCGCAACCTTGTGAGGCACTGCCTGGCTCCAGCAGCTGGCTGACAGAACTCCTATAGGCATCCAATTGGCTGCTTTTGCTGGATGCAACTATACATTAAAAAAACCCAAACCAAACAGCAACCCAGCAGCCAGAGCTTTTAATTCCTAAAACTAGCATATTAAAAAAGGAGGTGTGGGGTTTTTTTTTATACAGTTGGATTTATTCTTTACTTCTACAATAGGATTAATGAGTGACAGGGACATTTCTAACTATACACTAAACCAAATCATTTCAACACACAAAAGATGTGCCCCAGGCATTTAAAAAAGAAGATGCAATCAAGAAGACGGGAGCTTGCAGACCAGAAAAGCACACACATTGTATGCAAGAAGCCATGAAGATCCATCAGCAGGATCTGCTCTTGCTAAAGAGACAACTTCTTTATATTATGATAGTGGGATGTATACTTCAGAGATTACCAGGGGTGTTTTCAACCATGCCAAATGCTGTGATTAGCTCCAATCTAGTTTCAGGAGGAAGAGTTATTACTACTCTTAAACAGTTATTTACAGAAAGATTTTTTGTTTGTTCTTTTTTTAAACTTTCAATTTTGTCAACAAGGCATTAACTTACTGCATCAGGACACTCCTGCTGTGATGTGTCATGAGGACATGCCGCAGAGTGAAGATGCTGTGCTGCAACATCTTTTACCAAAGCAACAAAGCCTCAAGGGACAAGCCCAGTCTCCACAGTAACACAATGCTGTTACAAGCAATGGTTGGTGTGATCTCATATTAGCGTGGCACGTCATCATCTCCGACTACAGGTTCTTGGTCCAGAGACAAGTGGCACAAGGATTGCCGGGTCTGAAGTGGGAGGCTGCTCAGAACATTTCCCACAGACAGGCAAGTGCTGTCAGTGGTTGGAAATGCACAAAGCAAAATACTATGTCCCACCACACTCTGCCCAAACCTAGGATTGCCAATGCAGGTGTCCCTGCCCTACTGCTGACTTTACAATTGTATCTGAAATTAAGTAAGAAACAACTCTGGAAAACTGCTGGTAGCTGAAACAGCCCCTGTGGCCTCTGAGAGACCAGGCTCTTCAATCCAAGCCTTCACTTTTACTGTACTGTGACACCAGAGTGTGGTAACAGAGGAGGTACTGATAACAGTGCAATGGGTGAAGTGGACGCTCTAAGCTAGGCAGGCACACCACTGTGCAGGAGAGGAGCTTGAGATTCCTAACCAGCAAAGACAGGAACAGTCACTGCAGGCCGACCTTTACCAGTGAGCATGGCCTAGGCTGTAGTGTTGAAACATATTAAAACATACTCTTGGGGATCAGCAGCATGACTGTGTCTTTCTGCACTGACAAATAGGTTCCTTGCTCTTCAGCAAAGCAACAGCCAGGCTGATGCTGCTTTTAACAGGCTTCTCAATATTTTTATTGTTGTACAACATATAGATGAACACTTTTGTCAGAGAGGAAAACACAAGACTTCACTCTGCTGACTCTACCAGGCCTATGGCTCCCATGTCCTTCCTATAGCGTTCGATTTCCGAGGCATGGCACATCTTTGCTAAGCATGCCTTCCGAGCCTGGACAGTAATGCATTTGCAATTCATTTCTGCCCAGCTCGCAACCGGTGCAGAAATTACATTTGTGTGTCCTTAATACAACCCTTTTCTATTCCTACTTTAAGCAGCTTTTTAGTGCACCAGTACTTGGGTGAAATTTGTGCTCTCTCAAAAGCCCAGTTGCCTGTGAGTGGCACAGGACTTTACAGTAAGAAAAGAAGGGGTTCAGCTGCTCCCAAGAAGCATTTAGTATCTGAGGGACTGTGTGCATATCTACAAGCACAAACCATTCTGATACACTTGCTCTTTTTGCACAGGGGTGTTAAGGTTTGCAACTGAATGATGGTTTAGTGGCAGAAATCAATGCATTATTGTAACCCATTAAATGCAAAGTGTCCCTCTAACCCTAAGAGCCTTCAAAAGCAAAGGGAGGAACAGAACAGTGACTCCAATCCCTGTACAAGACAACTGTACAATTTACATATATATTTATATACAGTATATAAAATTCTCTTTCTCTGAGTCCCAGTGAATCCAATTTTACATCATCAGTAGCTGTTCCAATTTTAAAAAGTCATGATCCTGCTTCCCCCCACTCTCCAAAGTATTAGATAATGGCATTGAAAAGCAATTAAAAACAAACCCAAACCAATTATTAAAAAGTGCAAACGTTCTGGGGTGCCACTTCTGCTACATTGGATGTTGCTGATGCTGCATTCTTGTTCACAAGCAGCAAGGTGTCTGTCCATCTGTCGCTGGATCTTTCTTTCCTTTTCGTTCTGCCTTCCCTTCCTGTCTTCTGCTGCTACACCAGTCGACCTACTGAAAGGGTGGGGTTAGGCAAGGAGAAAAAAAAAACAAACACAAAACAAAACAGAAGCAGGGAAAGTAAGGAAAAAAGGCACATTAAAACCAAAAGGGCACCTGCCTGATACAGACACAGTACAGCCTCTGCTGCAGCCGTGGCCCCAGAAGGCTGAGATCCCAGAGTAAGCTGTGAGGCTGAAAACAACCAGGGGCTAATGAGACAGCCTTGCTGAAAAAAGCATTGAATGAGTCACACAGAGCCCTAGGGACTGACACATTTTTAAACATAAACCACCATTTTTCTCTCCCTCCGCCTCCTCAGAAACGGGCTTGCAGTCTGGGCAAACAACTGGTCCGACATCTCATCCTCCACTCTTCTCCCTGCTGCTGGGCTGCCCTGCCACCATTTCCCCATGAGCCGCAGGCATGCAGGGTGACAGCAAGCCACCTCTGCAACAGCAAAAATGCATCAGTCTCCCTGCTCAACAGTTCTTAGCGACTGCAGGCACTCTGGTATGCACTCTGAAGCCTACCAGCTTACTGAATCCACAGTGGGGATACAGCATATTTGGAGCTGGGGGTCCCTGGATCCTGCTGAGCTCTTAGTGTCCCAGTGGATGGTGCAAGGGTGCTGCTTACCAAGTCAGATGGATGCGCACACCCCCGCACTCCTTCCTTCAGAAAGCTTTGTTAAGCCCCTCAAAGGTTTTTAAAGAACCAAAGCTCTTACAGGATCAGAGCAAGAGCTCTGTGGATTGATTACAAGTGAAAACACAGCGAAGAGAAGGGAGAAGCATGGATTTGTGTTTTGAAAAGGAGAAAGGTTACCAGACAGGCCTCACTGGGATCGGTGCTAATCGACATGCCCTGCCATGGGAGGGTGAATATTTTCAAACACAAAATTATTGCAGATAGTCATATTCAAAACTGATAGCACAGCTCTGCAAAAGGCACTCACAGTGCTCAATGACCAGCTTGTAAAAATAGCAGATTGATTTCAATGTCTATACATGCAATGCAGTGTGTGAGTGGGGAGTGGGGATGACCTGTCCTACACTGAGTGATTAAGAAAGAGGTTGAAGCCACAGTACAGAATTTTAATGCTTCCACTCAGCTTTTAGCAGCAGACAAAAATCAAATACATGCTCAGAACTGAGGATACACCAGGCAACATCACTACATCAGTGTACAAAGCTTAGCTGATCTTTATCTTCAGTCCTCTGTTCAGCCCATCTCATCAGGACCAGATAAGGTACCCAGAAAGATAAGGAGGATAGCAAGAGGCACAGGAAGACTTCTGTCATCAAGCAAATGCACAGCCTAGGTCTCTTCAACATGGCAAGGAGTCTAGCCAGACATATGTTGGAGGGCTATAGAACAAGTGGCAGGAGAGAAGACAGGAAGGGGAGAACTGCTCACTGTTTCTCAGAATCCAAAATGAGAAGCACCCAATGAAACCACGAGGCAGGAGGCCTAAGAGCAAAACAAATAAAAGTTGTTCTTCATGCCTGATGAAAGGGTGCGATTCACTGCCACAAAATACAGATGCGAGCAGACCTTCACTGGGACAGAGAAGAGTCTTCATGGGAACTTGTCCATTGAGTAGTGTAATGTAAACACAACAAATCACCTAAACCATTGCTTGCTAGAAGCAGGGAGAATAGGGTAGGAGAGTGTTCATCCCATAGATGCTGTATCCTGTTCTAATTCCTTAGCAACGTACTGTCCGCCTCAGCTGAAGACGCAGTGCTGGACTTTGAGATGAGGCAGCTGAGCTGTGTGTTATAATATTCACATCTCTTATGAACTTTGTTTCCCAATTGTTTCTATATTAGTATTTGTGAACATAGGAGAGCAAGGGAGAATGAATTTTGGGACACAGTTATCACAGAAAAAAAGGAAATATTCTGACAAGATACTCACTGAAAGGGTTAAGGCCTTGTCTTTTTCCATTGGGGAAACTGCTCAGGCTACCTGTAAAATCCAAGAACCATATTAAAGGCAATAAATGCCACGGCAAGACAAAGGAGCCTCCCCATTGCCTGCTGCCGGAGGACAGGTTCAAAGCAGCTCCTCTGAGTGTGCACACAGCAAGTCCTGCCAGCACTCCTTAAGATTCACATGCAAGAGTCAGACTAATGTGCTTGAGATGAGCGATGTTAAATACCTGGTGTCGTAGTATCTTAACGTCACAAAATCCAGAGGGCAAGAAGCAACAATTACAAGGTTAAACTAAACTGTGGAAGGAGGAAGAAGAAAGGAAGGATGCAAGTAGTGCCATGAAGTTTCCCGAAACAGTTTTTGCTAAGAGCAAGCAAAACAAGGTCATGTAAACAGGGAGCAGCCAGAAAAGTGAAGTTGTAGGCAATACAGATAGCCTAAGTTTACTAAATTTTTAGCTTGGACCAAACAATCAAACAGGTACCTAAAATGAAAGACCAGAACTCCTGCCTGGCAGAACAGCAGGGACAGCTGGCAGAGCTGTGGCTGCATCACGAGGTACAGGCACACGCACCCTGCACCACACCGAGCTCACGTCGTGACAAGGGCTCTCCCCTCAACAGCAGACCTGTTCCTACCACGCGCGGGGTACAGACAGCTCAGGGATTACAGGAGCTCCTGAGCGCTCGTTACAGTTCCTGCCAGCTGCTTGGTCTGATTTCAGGTGAGGGATTAGCAGGAACTGGGATCTCCTGCTCCCGGCCAGAAGCAGCAAGCCTGTTGCCACCCTCCACTCCAGCCCAGCTGAAGCCTTCTCCTCGATGTGCGATTTGTGCATGCCCCGACCTGACGCACAGACCCACGCACCCGGTGTTTCCACGGGGAGCTCCGCACAGCTGCGGGATGCGGCCCCACGGCGCGCACAGCCTGGCTGCTGGGTTTAAGTACTTTGCACACTCGCAGCTAAAGCAAAATTAGCTCTGTGCAAGAGCGAGGTCGCAGAAGCTCAGAGAGCAGGGGTGGGACTGGAGGAGCCCGGGGGGATGTGAGGCTGGGCAGCAGGACAGAAGCAGAGCCGCTGGGAAGGAAAAGAGAGAAGGAAAGCAAGTGGCGGTGGCTGTTTGCAGTGGGTCCGAAAGCACAACCTGTTGGCCTTAGAGACCGTTAATAAGATACAGTAATAACGCCATCCTTGTATCAGCCGTCTGCCCTGGTGGGATCAGAGGAGCTGCTGCTGTTCACCGATTTGGCACTAAACCCCCGGGTCCTTACGGAGCCGCCGCACCCTCCAGCCGGGGCTGGGCTGCTGGCCGGGTAAGGCAGAAGGCACCCCCAAAGACCCCTTTTGCACATCTCTGGAACGCGGTTGGGAGCTCCAAGCAAGCTGATACAAAAGGTGGGGAGCACCCCTGAAACGGGAGGGACTATCCGGGCCGGGCTTCTCCCGCAGCCGCACTCTGAGCTCTCCAAGGGAACGGCACCGTGCATCTGTGCTGGGAGCCTACCCCGAAGCTCACCACCCGTCACTCCAAAGGCAGGGAGTATCGCCTTCAGCCGGCTGCCTTCGGTGTAAGCACAGGGCAGCCACCGGTACTTACAGCAGAGAAACCCTGCCAGAACACTGCACTGAGCATGAAGTCGACAGGAAAGAGAGGAAGAAACGTGGCAGACGGCAGCAGTGGGTTACTAACATAAACCTGGGAAGTCCTTGGGTGTTGTAGGGTAACATCGCGTCATTCGGAGTTTCATAATGCAGAGTATGTGCTCAGCCTCACAAGTACACTATTTTGGGTAACAATTCTAGCCACACTGGACTAGGCCAGGTGTCTTTCACAAGGAAAAGCCCCAAGGAAACCCTGCAGCTTTTCACAGGTAGAAACGATTGATCAGACTTACCAAGCCAAGCTCTCACCTTTGATGGGGGGCAAACATGCTACCAGGAGCCCTGTCTTGTGTCCTCAACACAATACTGATGTCCTGATTCATACTAACCATCAGTAACTTTCTTCAAGATTAAAGGCGACAAACTACAGCATCCCTGCTGAGCTCCAAACCAGGTATCTGAACAAGGTAAACAAAACCAAGCCCTGAAGCAGTGCAGCTTGTTTACATTCTAATCTAACTGTAATTCAATGTACTCTGAATTTCCTTTTTATTAAGTCAGTCATTACCTGGCTACAGGTTTCTCAGCCTCTCAGACTGTTGTCAGCCTTCCACCATCATCAGTCCAGAGGCCTTTCCCAGGTGACTGCTCCTTGCTACCTGCTGCCGCACAGCTGCTTGCACACCAGTGTTATAGAGCACCCTCATTCCCAGAAGCCTCCCAAGCACACAGAAAATCAGTTACTTCTGTGGAAACCAATTAGCAGGGTCCCAAACATCACTGAATTAAATCTGCTGTTTAGATTGTCCATTATTTTTCCTTCTTTCCTGTTATATTTGCCCAGCACCGACAGAAAATGATATGCTGTTTAATTACATGCACATACACCCTTTCTAATTAAGACATTTTGATCCTGTTTCTGGACTGTGCCCTTGATAGCTGACTGTTGGCACAGACAGTGGTGAGGTTCCACCTCAGAAGTCCTCATGGCTTGTGAAGCACGCCCAACACCTACCATCTGACAAGCTCTTGGATGGCAAAGCAATCACGGGATCTGAACTGGCAGAAGGAAACTTCCCGTCAGCTGGCAGAGGGACATTTCTTCACTGCTTAATCCCTTTAGCTCCTTTTTGGGCAGGCACAAAATGCAGACTCTGTCTTCTGAATTTGGAAGAATATAGAAGTAAAACTCAACTCCAGCATTTTGCAGCCAGAGCCACTAGTATAAGCCTTGCTCGGATCTACAGTCCTCCTCGCCAGCATCACTGGACTCCGACTAATCTTGGGTCCAGTAACTTTCCAGCAAAGCTTTACAGTCAGTGTGTGTATCTCCTCACAAGGACCCTGCCTTTTGACTAATGCACAGAACTAAATTTGTTCTTTGATCACAGATGGTTCCCTCCCTTAACTCAGGCTGTGCAGACTGCACTGACAACCGCTAACTTTTAACAGACTGTAAATCAGTCTGTTTTCCTTCCAGATCTTCTCAAACAGACAATCCTAGATCAAATGATGGCAAAGACTGTTTCTGGCGTGCTACAAGCTACAAGCCCGCCCTGCCCATTCTGTCCCAGTTTACAAAACCATTTGCAGGCTTCTGCAAGCCCTCAAAGGTTGGCTCTATGTGACTGCTCCATTCTGGGATCCAGGAATGGTGTTTTTCCATCTGAGTTGCCCCTGATAGAAACACATCTGGTTTAAGCTGAGGGGCAACAGCTGTGCAAAGCGGCCACCAGACCTAGCAGATTTCCCAGCAACTTTCTGGGTCGTCAGAAGGATGGAGAAGAGGAAGAGTTGCTGGCAGACTGGACAGCTATTTTCCTCACTGAAGAACCACTAGCTGGCAGCATCCACATATCAAGTTACCACAGGCATCAAGAAGCTGCTGAGGAGGGGAAGACAGATCGAACTACACATCTTGGACACATCTGATCCTAAGCTGGAAAGAGCTCAGATTAAGGATCGTCCTTATGAATATCCCAGCTGAATTATCCCACATAAGTCTTATTTATTTAGACTATCTAGTGCCCAAGAGGCACTATAGAAATGCTGATTTATCTACGCCCTGCGCTTCCTCTTCAAGCAAGACTATTTCCATGTTTGGATGGAACTGGCCACAAAAAAAAAAAACAAAAACACAAAAGCAACACACTGACAAAGATGCAGAAGCCTTAACATTTGTTTTCCTCAGCATCCCAAACTCTATAGAATTTGTTTTATTTTCTAAATCATCACAAATGTTCCAGTTGCCTAGCACAAGGCACACTCACCTGGAATGATGACCCACTTCATTTTAGTCCTTATGCTGCTGGATACTCAACCAGGATTTGGAACATCTGAGGCAAGTTCATTTGTAATGAAGTATATCCAGGGGAAATTATGACTTTCCTTGCCTCCCTCTAACCCCTTCCTCATCCAACCCAGACCAGAAAAGCCCTTCTAGCAAAACTTTTGTTGAAACAGAAACATTTCCATGAAAAGCTGTGGTTTCATCTGATTGGCAGTTTACAACTGAAAGTACGTCATTAAAAGGTTCCCAACTAGCTCTTGGCTTGGACATACAGTAACTTCAGCCCCAGCAGATGTTTGGAGGCCACGGTATGGAGAAAGAAACAGAGAGCAAATGCATGAACTAGTTGACCGACTGCATGCACCAATGCTCAGGATAAGGCAAAGTTGGAGATGGGGTAAGCTACCAGTTATTCCTTAATTTAGAAGTTCTTGTGAACAGAAAGCAGAGCAAGCATGTCAGCTACCATCTCACAAATTCACGACTTCTTAAAAAAGATCCGTCACAGACCTGCTTACTGCACCTCTAGAATACTGTCCCTCCATTCTTTCCTACATGTCAGAACCTGCTCCCTACACTTCCCCCTCTACTGCTTTTAGCCCTCACCATCCTTAGCTGCCGCCTCGGTCCTCCTTCCACATAGCTTACCCATTGATCTTTGATCCGCAAGGCCTATCACGCCTTTAGTAGGTACGTGGAGCTGTATGATAAAACAATGTCAGAGCCCCTTTTTGCACACAATCCTGTCCTCATACAACAGAAGAAAGCATGAAAGATCAAGGCTGTGTTCTTAGCAAATAGTTGGACAATCAGGCAATCACAACAATGTCTCGCTGCTTTCTTTCCCCTTCACAGACTCAAAGATTAACATTTTCTTCCTTCTCTCTTTTTTCTCTCCCCTCTTCCATAAACTAAATTTTGAACAGTAGGTTGGCCAAGGCAGCAGATTCCAAAGAGTCTTATTCCAGGCCAAATAGCAATAAAACTCATTTGGCATATTCATCTTATTGGGAAGGTAATAAAATTAAGGAACAGTGTTGCTATTTTGGCATGTCATTCCTCAGTAAGGTACCGATGACTAAGAAAAACCTTCCACTGAGCTAGGGAAGCTGAATGCTTCTCACAGCTGATGAGTAATGCAACAGACTTATTATGATAACTAAGATGTTTGCAAAGCACCTAGAAAAGGCAGCTTCCCAACACCCAAACACACTGACTCCCTTCCCACCTGTGCTAAACCTGAGGAAAGAACTAAGGAAAGGTTAAGCCTGGAGAAAGCAAGTTCCCACCCTTCTCAGCTGGCATGATGGTTATAACAAGAGCTGTCCGCACAGCCAAAACACCTGCACAAGAAATTAGTCCCCTGGAATCTCCGTTTGCCTTCTCCTGCCAAGCAACTCTGCCCACAGTGAAGAATGACTGATAATTGTTGAATTTGGGTTGAACAGTTTCAATCCATAAAATTTCTAAAAGTATCAATTTGGTCCCGACCCCAACAGAAGATGAGGTGAAGATGAAAGAGAAAGAAAAGGAAGGAGAGTGGGTTGATTGCTCAGGCGCTAAACAGAAAGGAAAATGTGTTATTCATATGCCATATTTCTCCCCCAATCTTAAAGTGCAATTTAACTCTGAAAAAGGGCAACAGTACAGCCCTGCACTTTCCTTCTGAGTTGTTCTCTCTGCATCATCCACTTTCCTGCATGCTGGATTTAGCAATGAAAATAAATATTATTTCTGTTAGTCAGCAGGGTCTCTGGAGAAGGACTTTGTCTGTGCTGGCTCATACATCATCCAACCTACACGGCTGAGACAACAGAATATTGTAAGCAGCGTACTACTCGGAAGGGACCTGATCTGAACTACTGTTTCCAAGGTCTTCTACAGTGCAAGCAGGGTAAGCAGGCACCACAATGAGGCAAGGCTCATCTTTTTGCCCTGTTTTTGTATAGTCCTTAGCACAAAGGTCCACGATAAGCGATCTAAGACAGAGCCATTACACAAATAACGAGCTAGATCGCCATGGCAGGGTATTAACCCCACTCATTTTCTCACACAAACTGGCACTTTTGAATCACGTGTGAGAAAACTGATTCCAGAGTTTGCTGTAACTCCATGTTAAGTCTTTTATTCTCATGCAGTGGAGAAGGAAAGGCACTCACCTCCTTCCTTGCTGACTCCCAAGCACCCCTTCAGCTCCTGAAGTGAGATCGACTTGTCCTTGTTGAGGTCACAGTAGTCAGTAAAACGTCGGGCACATTTCTTGGGCTTGGCTTTCTTCTTCACATAACGCTTGAAAGGCTTCAGCTCCCGTTTGTTGATGTCACTGCTGCTGTTGTTGTCCAGCTGGCTGAAGTACCAGTGTACCACTCGCTCCTCCAGCGTGTGGCTGGGGTCTGGCTCAGAGAACCTGGAACAGAGGAAGCACAGGCCCCCACAAGTGGGTGCTCTCACCAACACTGTCAAGTGCATGCTCAGGAGCCAGCGCTGTCAGACACGCACTAGGCTATATTGAAAGCAGGAAAAATACACAGGTCTTACAACCTCCTTTTAAGTGTTCTCTTTTGAGAGCAATTAACTTTTTATTTAACTTTTTCTAAAAATGTCATTTACCACTAACAAGCGGTGCCAAGAGATTCCTGGAGACTGATACCCTCATTAGCTCTGGTTCTCCTCACACCAGTTGCTGAAACTCTGCCTAATCCAAGAAGGATCCTCTTTAGAGGGCAAGAGGCAATCTCCATGGTCCTTTTGACCCTTGAGCTCCCATTCAAGTTACCAGCAGGAGAGCTGTAAGTGTCAGCTGTCATGGCAGTTTCTGTGATAGCAACATCTAGACTTCAGAAAAGGAACAAATTCATTGAATGCAAGACATTCATTATTTGAAATGTCCTTGGCAAGATGCAAGATTCTTGCTGTATCTATTTATACGATCTGAACTCCTGTACTGTATTTTCAGCACATTTAATGCTTTTCACGTGGCTGATTTATACACAAGAATTCCACAGCAGACAAGCACCACAAATCCATTACAAGCAATACTACAGAACTGGTAACTTGAGTTTGCTTCACTTCTCACTCATTGTGATATTACAAGTTTGATGTTATTTGGCTCACATTTTCTTTCTGTGGACAATAAGTAACAATATCAGAGAGAACAGGAGCAGGAGGAAAAGCAACAGCTGAATAGAGAATGCTGCCATTCAACATCAAGCCGTCACAGAACAGGCACTGTTATGTCACACCATTTAAGCAGTGTCTGGTGCTCTGCAGCAGCAGTGGGAAAGGGGTTATTCCTCAGTGACACAGAGAACCAGGGAAGAAACTCTTTCTAGAGAAGAATTCTTCAAAAATTGCACTAAGCTAGTTTGTCTTTTCTCCATGCAATGAGTGTGCCAACAGAGAAAGCTGAAATAATGTGGAAATTAAGCTGAGACTGAGCTTGTTTCCTCCCAAGAATAAAGCATTTCAGTGCATGGAAATTAGTGGATGTGTAGTCAGACACGCTACGCTGGCACTGGTTCCCCTGACTTATTCCAGGAGACATCTCAAGCTGCTGCTGCCTAATTCTTTTTCCACCAGTGAGAGAGGGACAGTTATGTGCTGCAGCTAGATTCTGGTGTGAGTTTAGGGCATTCTAGCTGATGGGGAAATATGAATCCAGGTACCTTGTAAAATTCACTTTAAGACTGCCACCAACCTTGTATCAGAAAGTGGTAGCGTATATATTTAAATGGTCACTGACAATGTCTTTGTTGGGAACTAGAAAGGAGAAAATTCTTTTGACCTTCTGGTATAACCAGTTTTGCCTCCAAAATGCAGCTACAGGGCCTGAAATATGCACACAGACCACTGCCCCCCC